ACTATTTTTAATAATTATTGCTTTAGTTAACAATAACAACACTGGTAAACACCTGGTTGAAATAATCAAAGCATGAATCTGTATACTAATTTTCACTAGACAAGGACCTCAAAACTAGTCCAATGACAAGGACTTTAGCAAACCTAATAGACAAATAAAAGCAGGTTGGAAATTAATTTTAAATTGGCAATAAAATCTTGGTTATATTATATATCACCCAGCACTAATTGATAAATAATCGAGGCTACACTAATGGTTGTGGACAAACACCAATTTAGAAGCAAGCATTTAGCGCTCTACTTTGGCAAGAGGCGAAGTATTGTTTGGACAAGACTGCACAAAATAATCTGTTTGTAACATATAAAGCCAGAAACACATGACATATCTTATGTGGGTCTGTACACTCACCTGCATCTGAAAGGTCACGTAAGGAGCTGCTGAGGGCACTTCTCTTGAGACCTTCACCCATAGCGTAACTGTCATCCAGACTGGTGCGACTCAGATTGCCATTTCCTGTCTCTTTCTTTAGCCCTGAGCTCTGGGAAATGCTGGGACGGACCACACCTTTCTGCTTCTCCAGTTCAGCTGCATAAAACGATTTCAACTTCAATGATCATATTTCACACACATTTCATTGCTTTTAGATACATTTGCTGTGCAATTTGAAAAACAGGCACATTGTTCGAGCCCCTTATGACTTTTTTTCTTTCTTCTGTGGACTATACTGGTCACTCTTGTCAACATAATGAAAGTGAGTAAGAGCTGCTTACACTCTATTCTGTACTTCTCCATCTCCTGCACCTCTGCGATGGACTCCCGCAGGTCATCGGTGAACTTCTTGCGGTCTTGCGGGTTGGGGGCGTTGAAGTTAATGAGAACCTTGATGTCTGCGCCTGGAAGAGCTGAAGTGAGACGCACTCCATTGGGGTAATCTGAAAAGCAGCAGCGGGAAAGAAATATTTACAGACTGGCAAATCACGACAGCACTCTGACGTGCTCTAATCAGAGGGACGCACTGATCGATATTCTCACATTTCGCAATCGCATATTTGTGAGCAAAACACATCTTAATACACAATACTTTGATTGTGAAAATTTATTTTTCAGTCAACAGCAGAATTATGACCTTTAACACCTGTTTTGTGTTTTCCTGTGCAGTGAAAAGTCTGTTTTTTACTTGACACGCTAAACTGTACGGACATGGATAAAAGAGTCCACAAAAGGGCAACATGGGGTCAGAAGGGCTTTGACCCTTTGCTGAGGGTACTTACACTGGTTTTCAAACAGAAGCACCTGCATCCCGTATAGAGAAAAGGACTGCCTGAAGCTGTACGTCACCGAATTCTTCTTCTTCTGGAAAATCTTAGTGACCTGAATCAAAAGCATGTCACATTAGGATCCCATCTGTTCCTAATTATCCTCGGCTCTTTTCTTTGAGCTGAGTAACACTTTCTGATTGTCTTTTGGACACATGATGTACACAACTGCTGACATAGAATTAGACTAAATTAGACTCGCTGACCATTACACAGTCATAACAACAAGAACTTAACAACATAACAAAAGATGCTATGATTTAAGACAGTTCGGTCTCATTTTTTTCTGTTTTTACGTCTCGTTTTGTGTCAAGGGCTATGAAGTGTGTGCTTTCGTACCACTAAAAGGTCATTGAACAGGAATATCTCTCTCTGGTGGAGACCCAGCTTCTGAGGTTTGTTAGGGTCAGGCACTTCGAACAGCCTGCAGTAACATACCAGTCTGCGATGTGGTAGAGACAGCACCTGTGTGTGGGACACAAATATTGATTAGCTCGAACCTGGTCCATAAATGAGACCCTAGACATGTTCAGAATGTCATACTAGCACACAACTTACTATTGCTGCAGTACAGCATGTATACTCTTCAAGAGTATGTATATTTTCAGTATGGATAAAATAACCGAATTACTTGTATACTACAGAGATTACTGCATGAAATACGGTATCCCAAAACGCAATGCGCTTGACTTGCCACTACGGTGGAATGGTGGAACTGGTAATTTACTGGTAAATTACATTTACATGCATAAATGTAAATTACCAGTTTCACCATTTTAATGAGTCTCTTTTTATTTGTTTTTTGATCAGAATTATTACATTCAAACATGATTAATTGAAAAAAAAAAATGTAGTGTAGTAGTTTGAAATGTGGAATAATGCTTATTGTTTCACTTATTATTTAATAAAAAATTGAAGATAGTATATACAGTGCAGTATTCAGTAAGTAACAAAATGGGTATAATAATAATTGATTTTTTAGGTAATACATTTTTTTATTAATTTCATAATTTTATTTTATTGGATAATATTTTTCCCCCCCCCCCCAACCTCCTACATTATACTTGGAAAAAAAACTGAGCAGAAAGAAAACCTCCTATAAAATAATTTATTTTATTGAAAATAACTGTTTTGTAACCATGGTTATCTGACTTAAATTGTTTAATGACAGTAAGAGGGATGAAAACAGTAAACATTACACTCACACATCCAAGGCCATGGTGCAGAGACCCGATCTGAAAAGTGAAAAAATGAGACTGATGAGTAAGGATCATAGCGAGAGGACTGAAGGGAGGTTTGAAGGTCAGAGAGTGGTCTCTGTCTCTCGTTATCAAGACCCCCCTCCATCTACCTGTCAGATGTGAGCAGTGCTGTGTGAATAGGGTCAGAGGAGGTTAATGAGGAGCCAAACAGCTGCTGCTTGAAACTGTGACAGGGAGTCTCGGCCCGTTTTCAGAAACCTAATTACAGCACCCGGGATGCAGTGTCTGCAGGCAGGGGTCTCAGGCACAGCAGCCTTCTATCTAAGCTCCACAGGAGATCTCCATTATGTCCTCTCCAAAGATGTGTGGAAGATACACCAGGGAGAAGGTTTTCCTGGCAACCAAGCCATGTGTGCCGTTTCCATTAAAGCTTAAATGTTAATTATTTCAGCTCTGAAAACCCACAGTGCCTCCAAATTCAACTGTGTGACAGGCACTCAATGTGGTAAAGAAGATACAAGTTCATTATGGAAACAGCTTCAGTTAGTTTAGCCTTGGGAGAGACTCTGCTGGAGGAATGATGTATATTGTTCTGATCTTGTGGATTATACAACTCTACATACATACACCTTTAGCGGTAACAGACTTTAGTCAAGGTAGATGCTAATGGTCTACAATTTGTTTAAGAAGTGTTTCTGCATATCAGAACGGTAATAAGCATATTATTATAATGATTTCTGAAGGATCACGTGACACTGAAGACTGGAGTGATGACTGCAGAAAATTCAGCTTTGCCATCAAAGGAATAAATAACATTTATAACATTTTAAGATTTTATATAAAATATATTAAAATAGAAATTGTATAATTTCTAGTAATATTGTGTAATTGTAATAATATTTCACAATATTACTGTTTTTACTTTTGATCAAATAAATAAAGTCTTGAAGAGCATCTGATACTTCTTTAAAAAAAAAAAAAAAACACCCCAAACTTTGTAAAAAAAATAAATAAATAAATAAAATATGCTAAGCTAAGCTAAAGGTTAAGAAACTAAAGTTCAGCTAAATGTCATGCTTAAAATGTCATCTTCGATTTTTTTTTATACAATATGTAATGGCGGGAGAGTCCCTTCTCTGTGTCTCCCCATCCACAAAGGGATCATTGCACTGAAAAAGATGAAACTATATGTATTTAAATATTTTAAATTGTAAAATCTATTTAAAACATATCTATAATTTTCAGTTGTGTCACATTAAATATGTAATATACTCTAAATGCTGCCTCTGAATAAGTTCTCTGGTTGTAACCCGCTGTGCCGCATAATAAGATGGTTGAGTTCAGAGCAGGTGAACTATTAGTAGATTTAATCTTTAGGTTACTCTGAAGGCCTCTGTGCAGAAGCAAATCACATTTATCATTGTAGAGCATCACGCAGCTCTCGCCACATGACTTACATACACGCTCAGACACCACACTCAGACACTGTGAAGGTCTCAAGGTAGGTATTAGATCTGTCATAAAGAAAAACATCTTGTAGATAAAGAATCTTCGAAGAGTCTCAATGGGACGTGGCTCTTGAGGATAAAAAAGTGTTTGCAAATGGTTACTGACAGAACAATAAAACCTATAGATCTACACTGCATGGAGTCACAAGGGCATACAAACACACAATAGGTGAGAGAAGGAACATGTTTAACCAATCTCCTTGGATCATTTCACACCACTGGACCGTAACTAGAATCGATAAAGTGTCATTTCTAGAACCGGGGTCAACATGATGGATAGAGATGGACTGTTCCTGCAAGTAAGGCACTACAAGATGGTTTGGATAGAAGTGTGGAAGACACAAGTGACAATGACACTCACCGGCTTCTTGCCAACTATGAGTTTCTCCACCTTCTGCACCTGGGAGACGTGGTCTTCGTTAGTTTTAAGCTCTCGCTTCCGGATTCGCTCGTAGATGCCAACCAACATCTCTCTTGGGATATCCTCTCCGTCGTCCACCCCTGTGCACAGGAAGCAAAAAACAAAAGAGATTGGATATTTAGGGCACGCAAAAGATTTATGGAAATTTTAGGAAAGAATTAGAAATGTAGGTCAAGCACATCTGAATTACAACGTGACTATATTTACATATGGAAATTGAATGTGAATCTGTTTGCTTTGCTCCAATTATTATGCAAGGTTGTGACCAGAAACATGTCATTGCTATCCCAAAGAAGCCATTCATCAGTCTGGAGCACATGCATTAAGTTTAATTAGAGATCATTTGAGTACTTTTTTTTTTTTTTTTTAGTACGATAAAAATCTCTGAATGCCTTTGAAGGGAATTTATGGATGGATCAGATTCAGTTTGCAATGAAAAATGTTAATGTGAATCTCACCGCGAAGGTTCTTTACAAAGTCCTCCAGTTTCATCTTCCTCTCTGGCTTCACGTTTGGGCTGTACATGTCCGTGTTGAGGAGTATAATGGCAAACGCCAGGATGAAGATGGTATCGGGGTTCCTAAATTGACGCACCACCCCCGGGTTGCAGATGCAGTAGCGCTGACTGAATGGAAATAATAAACACAACTACAACAAATGAACAAAGTGAAACAAATTAATATGAGACTGCACTTCTACCGAATCAATAGCTGCTCTGGTGAGTAACTGGTGCTAGATGCACAAGCCTGAAAGAGAATGGTAAAACTGCCATCCTGTTAAAGAGCTATGTTCTTTCAGATAACACTTGAATGGACTTTAAACTGTTCGTTTGGAAAGATGTCTGCCTCAAAGGGTTTAGCTATAACAATATTTTTTGAAAGTCTACGGGTGGTAAGCAGGCAACCGTTGCAGTTATCTTCCCACACGTTGTAAGCCGGTGTGATCGCTCAAATGACAGACGGTCCTTGAGAGCCGATCGAACAATGTTGTCTGTGGGCTAAGGGAGTGTCGAAGACCAAAAAAGCAAAATATCTTAGAGGCTTTTTCTTGCTTAAACAAGGTTTAACTGAAAATGATAATTGTTCCATCTTCATTGTCTAAAATTCTGTCATTATTTATTCACCCTTACGTTAGTCCAAACCCATATAACTTACTGTCTATGTGGAAAACAAGAGGTGAATTTTTAGGTGAATATCCCGGCCACTCTTTTCGAAAATATGAAAATGAATGATAAGTTGTCTTGATGTAATTTCAATGATGTGTTGAAATTAATGATAAAAAATTACCCATAAATATATCATAAAAGAGGTTCAATGACTTATGGGCTATATTCCAAGTCTTCTGAGCAATATTGTAGTTTTGTAACAGACCAAATTTTAAGTTGTTATGCACTAAACATCTTGATCTCTTTGGCATGTTAATAGAAAATATTATTTTGATTATGAATCATTGGATATTTTTAATGGATCAGTTGAGTCAGTTCACAAAACCCAGTCTGAATGACTCATTCATGAGTCAGATGGATATAAGCACAACATTTAAAAACAAGTGAGAGTTTTCATTCTTGTGTGAACTATCCCTTTAACAGTGCTTCTTTTTTTAAAGAATCAACTGAAATGTTTTTCACCTGAAGGCTTCAATGAGTCGCTCCACCTTCTGTGCCTCTCCCTGCACCCGGATATGTGCCTGGAATTTTCTCAAGGCTTCATCCAGCTCCATTCCAGAGAAATCCATCTCATCTACCACACAGCTGGAAAAAGATAATGAACAAATTTAAAGGACCGCTACATTCTTTCCTGCACTGTTAGTTTGGAAATCTTCTGGGGGAAAAAATGCATTCTATTCCATGAATTTTATAAATTTTCACAGAACACATGAAGATATTTTAAACTGAGAGTGGTCACTGCTTTTAGAAAAAGGAAAAAAGAGACAAATCCTATAAAAGCAAGTTCTATCAGTCTCTACATCACAATCATGGGGCATACAAAGCATTCTGAGGGACATTTTGCTCCAGGGATACTCGGGAGTGCATTTGATCTCACATGTCAAGATTTACTGATTTTTCAAGGAAGTGCCTTTAAAAAAAGTGCTTTCAGACTGAGCTGAACACAGACTGCATGGGCTTATCTGCCCTCATTATCTTGACGTTACTGGCAGATTGAAAAGGAGGATGAGTTAACTTAAGAGTGAGAATGAGTTGATTCATTCGCAGGCACATTGCTTCAGAGAAGTACTCCATGAATCCAGACACCTTATTCAATACGTACAAAGCAGTGCAAGAGTCCATACATTTTATCCCTCTCTCACACTTTGATTCCATGGAGGACTGGCTTGAATAATCGTTTGTCATATGCGGACTAATTTCAAGGGGTCACTAACAATTACAGCAAATTCTTGTGGTTACAACAAAATGAACCAGTTTTCAATTTTCTGAAATGGAATTAATATTTTCCACCTTTGATCCTAAATGTACTCAATTTAAAAAGAGGACACTAAATGGATGTGGGTACAATTGTAAAGAACCAGTTTAAAACAATGGACTATGATCTTTGATCCTACATGCACTCAAAGCCACATGAGCTTGAAAGGCTTAGACACGGTGGTCAGTTTATCTCAGGAGGGAACACATAAATTCATAAAGGCTCCAGTGATACTGGCTTAATGTAATTTACCAAGTTAATTCTGCTGTGGCGAGGATAGTAATGGATAGCGAAGAACATAATTACAGAGGAGCATCTTAAAATTAAAGATTATTATGGTGGAATTCTAGCTGAATTTTTTTCTTTATTTTTCTTTCTTTGGAGAATTTGTGTTTTCTTTTTTTGTGAATGTAGGTCACATATGGTTTACTTGGAGCATGGACTGGTTAAATAGAAAAAATACGAACAAAAAACTGCAGCATCTGCCAGTAAATTAATTAGATTAAAACTGAATTGTGTAAATTTTTTTCTATAATAATATACTTTTACCAGTTCTGGTTTAATGGGCAGAGACAACTAATTGCAAATAACACATGCACAAAACAAAAAGTGCTGAAAATTAATGCATATTTGAAATAACTTGGCTTTTGAGTATATTTCACTTTGAATGACTGTTTATGTATATACAATACACCCAACTAACACAGTTAAATTTGTTGAACTTACTCAAGAACATCTCTGTTGAACTGTTTCTGCCTGTTGCCCAGGAACTCGCCAATCATCTGTCGACTCAGCCCTTTTCTCTGTAACAGGAAATGGGCAACTCCCACAGGTGTGTCTGGGACAAATCCTCGCTCAATCAGGTATTGGATGCCTTTTTCAGGTTTCCTAGAGACAATAAAAGAAGATCAAGAGTTTAAACAGTGCCTGTACTGGTCCCAAAGTGTGACTAAGCATCTCAGCTCAAGTATGTTCTTGCGACTGGACTGTTACCATACAAGATTAAAAGGAACTTAATGGCCCAGTGCAAAAACAGGCAAATCCACAATCATCCAAGATTAGAGGTTCCCACTTTAAACAAGGCTTTAAACGAAAAACACATTCTAAGACTCACACATACTGGCACATAAACATGCCCCAGCAGCAAGCAAGCACCTTAATCCATTCAATAAGAAATGAAATCTGATCTGAAATATCTCATGATAATCCCTCTGTTATTATAAGGAGCTTAAAAAAAGAATTAACCTTGTTCGTCTTAAGTACACAGAGCTAGATGGTAAACTCTGGTTATGAGGGCAGTGTGCTTTCCTTGATCAACATCCCAACTAAACTAATAGTGTTCTCATCACAGTTCTAATTGCTTGATCGCTAATCAAATTTGGAGCGCTGAGTGGCAATCAAACAGCACCACATGCATGCACACAGACATACTGAATAAATAAATGAGCCAAAATTATAATGAATGTCTGGAAAAGGAAAACACACGTCTATTGCTCTTTGTGCACTTGGTGTAGATGATAATTGAAAAAACATTAGCTCGCGGCATTGTTTGTGCACAAAGATCTTTCACAGCTATTAACAGCTCCGACTGGCGCTAATGAAAATCATTACTCAGTGCAACTGAAACATGACACTCCAAAACAGAGTATGTGAGTGGCGTGGGAATGAGGAGCAAAGTAGCATCATTTTTGCCTGGAGTGAGGTGTGTTCCTCTAGCTCAAATAGTTGAGCATGACACTAGCAATGCCAAAGTCGTAGGCTTGATCGCTTGAATGCAAGTCATTTTTGATAAAAACATCTGCCAACTGCATTAATGTAACATTTACAATTTTCAAAATGTGCAAGTATAATAGAATTACATGCTGGCAACAATTCACATCATAATCATGCTAACATATGCATATGAACATAAAAAACATACTGAAACAACTTAGTGTGGTCACGTTTACCTTACTGAAACGAGCATGGTCACGTATACCTTACGCCCCGTGGATTTAAAAATGGATTCAAGTCTGTTGAACTTATGATATGCAAATTTGCCATGTTTTGTAATATGAAGTTTCTTGGATAGTAATGACCTGTGATTCAGCTGTGCTTCGTGCTGCTTTGCTACACTATAGACATTGGACAATGAACCCACTTTGTCTGTGAAATTTAGCTTAAGTTAATGCTACAGTCACAGTGTTCAAATTGTTCTAGAAGCAGAAAATGGAAAACCCGGAGTGGATTTCGAGTGGACACTCCACTCCACTCCACTCACATACTCTTTTCCCAAACTAGCTTTCTACAAAAAAAAGCATGCATTCACACTTCACCTACTTGTTAAAAAGGTTCAGGCCGATACGATAGTGCCTCTTGCGGATGATATCATTGCTGAACGCGGGCGAGTCCCAACTGTTGCGGGTCTCTTTATGATATGTCTGCTTGCTGAGAGTCTGCTCTCGAAGACTATCCCTGGATGAGGACTCCGAACTGCAGTTGATGGTATCATTGGAATTGGAAGTGCTGTTGATGCTGTCGTTATCGCCGTCAGAGAAGTCAGACTCAGATTTGCTCTGCCGGTTGGCAGTGCCGTTGATTGCCAGGTGGCTCTCCAGTTGCCGCGGCCGATGCCGAGGAGCTTCGTCATCTCTTGCCGGTCCCCGTGGTGGTAGTGCGTGAGAGGGGATGTGTTTCGGGCTGCCCTGCTGGCTGGCGATGCCCCGATCGTAAGTGTTCTGCCTCTTGAGAGAGCTTCGGTCAGAACGGTCACTCAGCTCAACCGAGCTATCGCTGGGAGGTTCGATGGTGAGCAGGGGAAGGTGATCTATCCTCAATCTCTGCTCTTGACACTCCAGAGACGGGGTGCTTCGGCAGCTAGTGTCCGTGTCGGCCTTTTCATCCTTATGTGCTAGAGACCAGTAGTCCTGCGAGGAGTTCAAACAACGTAGACGGAGGTCCGACTCCGTGCTAGAGGGTCTGTCAACTGATTGTGATAAAGGAAGAGGAGGGGAGAGCTCTTCCTCATCTATATAAAGTGTCACATCGCTATATGAAGCTGTCATCTCGTCTCGCTTACGGCGATCACTACTGTGTGAAGGCTTGACCTGGTAGATAACCTCTTGCTCCCTGTCCGGAAGGCCTCTGGTTGGCTCTGGCTGTCCCTCGTCTCCATGTAGGCTGCGACAGTTCAGAGCATCATCTATCGACTCTGCCAATGATTTCACTTGTCGAGAGAAAACGTCCTCCAGCTCTGTAATGGCGTCCGTGAAATCACTCTGGACCGCAGGCGACTTCATGTTGGTGGGGACCATCTCTCCACGCTCTGATTGCACCAAGGCTCCTAGTTTAGAACCATCATCTGTAAGAGACATCTGCTTCCCCTCAAAATATGAACTGTGGACTTTTTCAGGTCCTTCAAACGAAAACTGCATTCTCATATTGGACAAAACTATGCGCCTGGACATGCGGTTCTCCGACATAGAACTCCTGAGGCGCTCAAAGTTCTTGTTCATCTGATATTGGCGGAAGGCAGTCTGGATTGTTCGCGCAGCATGTCGGGTTATAAAACGCCCTCCATATTTGCGCTCCAGCATCTCCACCTGTGGAAACACACAAAGATTACGCACCACTTTTAGTGATAGTAGCAAAACCCAAATGTGCAAATGTCCCTTCCCTTCCTTAGTCTTACAGAATTTTATTGTTGACAAAGATTTTGTTTTCCATCCCATGACACAATATGACTTGACCAAACCTCAAGCCAAAAATGGTAAGCCACATAAATAAAAGAGACAAATAAAAGCCACACATGGTACTAACTATTAAAGCTTGGGTATTTTGCCAGATAGGATGGATAAAACCATTTCATCCCTTATAAAGGCATCATGGACTGAAGAACACCTTTAGCATGGTACCTAAGAAACCGGTTGTAACCCACTACCATGCAAAAGCCAGCTCAAGACCTTTTTAGCCTGAAGAATGGGCAGAACTAATCACATTTCTCAGCTCTGTGGGACCTCACACAGAGACGGTGGGCAGCACGCCACTGGATAGTACCACAACACAGTCACTCTGAATACAAATCACACTCCCAGCATGCACTGAGTTATGATTCTCATCTCCCAAATCCTAAAAGGTCCTCATTGATCTCATATCAGCCTTTGGGTGTATCAAATTACTTCATATGAAAGACATCCAGTCACCACAAGCAACCTGAAGGAATTAATGTTCACCCAACTACAATAAACTAGATTTATTTACACAGTCCTTTGAGGGGAAGTACATCAAGCATAAGCTGAAGCCACTGAACCTCAATCACACTCCCTCTGCACCAAAAAAGACTCATCGCAATATGAATACAAATAGTTGGTGGAGAATTTATGGTTTGGTAGTTGGTAGCATTCCAGTTAAAGAATGAAGAGATCTACCTGTTTGTCTTGGAGGTCGGTTGACAGCTCATAGCTCTCAGACAGTGATCGTGAGCGTTTAATGGCCTCCTCTTCTGCCTGTTTGCGAAGGATCGACTGGGAATGCTGGAGTTTGGGTCGCCGCGGGCGCTGCCGTACCTCGTGAGCGTACAGTGGTGGGCCGTCGAAGTGCTCGCCACTGATGATGGCACTGCGGCTCACCGGCCCTCGTAAGTAACCACCACTGTTTTCTAGAGAGGGGCCCGCCTCACCACCCGGAGCCTCTCCTTCCACACTGTAGAGGGCAAAAGAAAGATAGTGTGGGTTAGAAAAAAATTTAACAACATGTCACACTACACTGATTGCATGATCTGTTTTTGATTCACTAAAAATAACTGACTCAGTCATAAGAGTCATTTGTTTGTGAATTGGACTGTTCAGATTACGTCATTATTTTCCAATAAATGCTCTGTTATTGCATCACATTCAATACAAATGGCAATATGACAAAATATGAAGATTCAGACTAAATTCTACAGACCAGCATTCTATACAGTACATATAACACACGCAACCTTGTTTTTCCAGACACAAATCAAAGTTCCTTGTAAATCCCATTATCCACTCCCACAAGCTTACACGTGAGATTACAAGTTGAGCTTTGAACTGGTGTGGAGGTATAAAAGCAAACGACTACAGTAAAAAGAAGTAAAAAGTAAAAAGAAAACTGTGACACATTCGTAAACAGATAAAACAATCACACATACTTCAGCCACGTCATTTCTAATGTGATTGCTTGGAAAGGTCAAAGTACATAATGAGGGTTATTTGATTACAATGCATATCAGTTACACCAGTGTGAGAGAGATGACAGATGGGTGATTTTGATGATGCTAGAAACATACAGTAGTCTTATCATAGTCAATCTCAGGACCAGTGCCAAAATTCATATGGATGGGTCTGGTTCAAGATTTAATATATATGTCAAGCAAATTATTTTCTATCTTTTATACTGTACATTATAATTTTCTAGAATTTTTTTTTTTTAAACAAAGACTGGTATAGATTTATAATATCAGCCATAAATTGACAATAATTATCAGCTTTTCTGTATCTGCCAGAATTTTAATATCGATGCATGTTTAGATTAAATTATATATATATATATATATTTTTTATGGAAATATTTTTCCAGCACCAAGAAGGATGCTGATTCAGGAAGGTATCCTACTCTTCAGCTGTCATTATATTCCACAAAAGCCAAATCTGAATTCTTTCAGTACATGTTTGTTTTGCACCTTTACTGCTTCTCATTCACACACTCAGTGCCAGCAGATTAACTTTCTAGATGAAGTGCTCTTCTTTTAATTAAATGAATTAGTGTTCAGTAGAGTGTTCAGTATTACAGAGATGAGAACACTGACACAGTCAGATTGATTGAATTTGTTCATCTTGTATAGGGAAAGCGTCAGAGGAGAGATGTATGGATGTCAGAGCACTTGGCACTGTTTGCAGGTGTTTCCAATCTGGGATAAGACAATACAAGAGCCTGGTGTAGATTGACTTCAACATACAATATCCTCAGGGGGGCAGGCTCTATTGAGCCGATACACCCTTATACACCCCTTCAGCTAGTGCTGTGATCATCAAATGACATACAGAGGATGCTGAGAGATGATGGGTCGAAGGTATAGAGACTGTTCTCACACTTCGTGACAGGTCTGTATTCACCGGCTGCTTCTGTAAAAATACTCTGAAATACAGATTCAAAAGGGAGGTCACCACGACAATCAGATATAAACATTTCCTCAGACTCACAGGTCATGGCAATTATTGTGCACACATAATGCCACATAATACAGCTGATATAAAATAAAATGTAAATATTATAAAATTTAAAACTTTGCCTTGGCAACTAACCGAAATATGTTGATGTACTAATATTAGCAGTGTTGGGGAAAGTTACTTTTAAAAGTAATGCATTACAATATTGCGTTACTCTATAAAAAAGTAACTAATTACATTACTCAGCTACTTTTTATGGAAAGTAATGCATTAAGTTATTTTTTGTCACCTTAGCTGGGCTTGCTTAATTATTTTTAATAACAACAAAAAAAAAGTTATATTTTTTGGCAACTGTAAAGGACCTTTTACACAAAAAGTGAAATTAATAAGCCTCAGCCTGAAGGAAAAGCCTCTGCACCTCACTCCCAATTTTTTTCAATACGGGGGCAGGAGAGGTGTCAGTGAATAAATGGGAAAACAAAGTAACTTGGATTTCTTATTTGAAAAAATAACTCAGATATTTTCTGCTAAATTTAAAAGTAATCTTTACTAGTTACTTAAAAAAGTAATCTGATTATGTAACTTGTGTTACTTGTAATGCGTTACCAAACCTGAATATCACTACAACTAAAACTGAAATAAATATAAATTAAAGCTAAATATAAATAAAAAAATTATCAAAATGTACAAATAAAAACAGGATAAATGACTAAAACTTAAATTAATATTAAAACTGAAGGTATAAAAATAAAAGGCCATTCAAAATATTAATAAGTATTATAAAAGTATATAAATAGGACTAAAATAACACTGGATAATTTCGATTAAATGTAAATTTACAACAATTCTTATGACTTTTTAGAGGTGGCATAAATGCAATCCAATAATTGGCCGTAGGGTTACTTTATATAATCAACACTAAATGAACAATTGTATAAAATACTACTGACAAAAATCATAATGTTCATCTATAAGTACATATCAAATGAACAACAGTCACTCTACAGTACTCTTGAAACACTACTTATTCAAATCTCATAGTTAAAAGCTGTATATGATTCACTAAAACGAACTGAATCATAAGAATCATTAATATAGGAATAAGACTACACCGACTGCACTGTCTATTTCATGCTGTAAATTTAGTAGCACAAGGTTGTCGGTTCCCAACCATAGTACTGCCTGTTTTATCATGCAGAGCACATTGATGTGTCTCTGCGTGCCAATCCTACTTCCAGACATGACCCAGAGTTATGAACACACATAAAGCCCACCTGCCGCTCTGAAGGACACAGCTAATGAGGGGTCAAGATGGGTAAAGTAGGAGGTTATATATAGATATAAAGGTTAATGCAATGGCATTGTTTCATGTATTCCTACATGCATACATAAATACCTTCACTCTGCCCACAGTGGTTGGTAATAAAGGAAGATGAACATGTTTTGTTACATGTGATTGTATATTATATGGAAACACGACGCAAGGTAATTCAGATGATGAATTTGGCAGCTAATTTCCCCAAATCTCTGCACTGAGGCTACACGGCTCGAACGACTTCCAGTGTCTGATGCCTGATGTCTCCTGAAAGAGCTCTCAGCGGGTCCCTTAAAGGGTGGCAGCAAATACAATTTTCATTTTGTTTGGTTGCCTTCTCATCTCTCTGAGGAGAGCCAGGGTTATTTCAAAGTCTGACTCCCCCTAAACTTTGATAGATGATGGTGTTTGAAAAAGTTGCAATTATTGTGAACACAAGCGATATATAATCCTTTGAGGATACCAGATGACAGGTCTGTGAATAGATTCAATGAAAAAATGTAAGAAAATAAATAGATGGAAGTGTTTAGAGATCATCACAGTGATGGTGTGGGGGAAAAATGAACAACTTGCTGAAATGAAGGACATCCATTCATCTCAGAGCAAAGCAATCAAAACAATGGGCTAAATGTTCAAGGTTGAGTTGCTAAATTTAAACTACAAGGCGGGATAAAGCTGAATTAGTGGCAATCCAGCTCTCATTTTAATTTTCTGCCTCATGTTATTTTATAAGACCGTAAACGAAATAGCAAATTGAATTTAATGAGGAAGAAAGCCTGCTTTAATTGAGCTGAGGACTGCGCTCTCAAATCTATACGCTGGTGCTCAAAACACTAATTAGAAATGGGGCCATTGTTAAAATGGACACAGATTAGCTTCCAAGTCTGTCAAGTTTGAACTTTCTTTCTTGCGCCATTCCAAAAATTTCCTGTAATGAAACAAACAGACCACTTGGGGCACCGATGGGCATTTCAGAAATTCAGGGATAAAAAGGGATCGTTAGCACAAGAATAAAAATCAGTTTTAAACAACATGAGGGTGATATTTTTGGCTAAACTATCTCTTCAACAAAATATCTGTATCTTATTACACCCAAACGTAGTTTACAGTATATAAATGGGCGATTTTATCCAATCAAGCGAAATGTGAAGGCTGTCATACTCAAATCCATAACTCAAGACAGCTGGCCAAGTTCTATATTTTCCAGAGGGTCTCATTAGGCAGCAAGATGAGACGTCTCTATAGGACTAGTTTGGGCTTCAGTCACGTCCAGCTAAGAGAGATGTGGGAGGTTCTGACAAGGGTAAAAGAACACAAGTGCTAACAAGATGGTGAGGTGTTAGGATCTGACAGAAGATGAAACACACCGTCTCTTGCTCTCCCCTGGAGTTCACCTAAATGAGAATCTCAAAAGAAGACCTCTATCTCATAGTGCTAAATTACTTGTTTGAAACTCAAAGCCAAGAAACTATTGACTTACAACATGCCGATATAAAGAGGAACTAATCACTGGCAATTTCAATCATCTACAATTCCCATGAGTTAAAGTACAACTGGTTGAACTGCATTTTATTTACATTTTCATCCCTCTGAAGTGTCCACAATTCTGCATTTGTATTCCTTTTTAGGCAGCAATTTCTGCTGAGCTTATTTAACCTCATACTTCATCTAATTGACTGTGAAGCTGAGGTGCAGATGCTGAGTCTAACAAGGTAAACTAACAAGCTCATTTACATTTCACTACCTAAACCACATTTCATTTGAACTCTTGGGTGCTAATTTTGGAGTCTTTTTCATGTCCTGAACCGTCAAGCTCTGAAGGTTTTACTGCCATCCTGACAACTGACTTTAGTTTTTTTTTTATGCTGTATGTTAAAGATTAGACAGTTAAAAACAATAAATGCTTTTATAGACTAAACTATTTTGCTTATTATTTTGCCCTACTTGCAGAAAAACGAGATGCCGTGCTCTTAACAGAGGTTACACTAAATCACACTAAACTAGAAAATGTCCTCAACCAGCTTTAAACAAGGAATTGATGAAAATAATATATTTTGTACATATAATAATACAGGATTTATATATTGATAATAGTCTCTTATGCTCACCAAGGCTGCATTTATTTGATCAACAATACAGTAAAAATGGTAATATTGTGAAATATTATTACAAAATGTAATGTAATAATGTAATGT